AGAACGTTTATAGTCAGAACAGAAAATTTGATACAGACACAAACATGGCCTCTAGGCTGGAATGAGGGCCTTCTTGGCCTGTGGTGTTTAAATCCATATACAATTTCGCCACCTGGTGGCTACTTGGCATTATTTCATTGAGTTGCTTTATACATTTTGTTCTGAGAACTCTAGCTGTACTTAGAAAATTCTAGAAGGACACATAGCCTTTGAGTGGAATGTTAAGTGAGTTATTTAAAGTGAATCATACTTTTCCTCATATCTTGCAGAGTTTCTTGGGGATCAAAAATGGTACTTATAATTGAGGGTTGAAATTGTTTATTTGTGGGCTTTGTGGAATGGCTCAGCTATACTTCTGTGTTCGTGGACAAAGAAATTGTCTGTTATGAGCAAAACAGACATGGTCTTACTCAGTGACAATGTTACTCATCCAATATCTGCTTATGAACACAGTTCAGCCTCAGCTCTAAGAGTCTTGTAGAATTCTCAAGAAGACATAAGAAGAAACAGTAATGTACATTTTTATATGAGTTTAAATTCTGACTGATGCTAAGTTCTGACTCAAACATCTACACATGGTAAGATTATTATTGCATACAGAATTTTATTGCACCCTAAATAGGATAAAATGTATGCACAGGAACTTTCTGCAAACAGCAGTGACTGAGTTGGAGATGTATGTTGGTAATGAAGCATTTGCCAAGGAAGTAGTATGGGCTGGGCCAATCTTCAGCATACACACACACACACACACACATTCAGCAGTCACAATATTAGCAAAAGTGTTAAAATCAACATTTTCAATGTTCTGGAAAATATTGACATAATCTAATAATCAAGGAAAATTTAAAAACCTCACTGATATTTGTGGCCTTTTACAATTCCTTAACTTAGTCCAATATTTCCATCTCCTGGTCACTCTTGAAAACCTTATAAGCTGTGGAAATTAAATGCTGACATCACTGAATATCTACCTGGAAAACAAGAAGTACAAGTGTAAATCTTTGTTAGTGACTGACATGAACTTTTACAATGAATGAAACAAGAGACACTGTGGCCTATCATCACCACACCAATTGGTAGTGGTACTCTATAAATGATACCTTTGAGTGCTCATTAACTAACAATTCCAACAATAGTACTAGGAATCTATTCTTATTATCAGAAATAATAAAGTACCAACAAAAGCTATTGATATATACAAATTATACAATAACTTACAAGGGAACTGTAGTCAAATGTGTGGCATGTTCGTATAATTCCAGCACTGGGAAGGAAAAAGCAGGAATATAGTGAGTTCAGGACAGCCTGGGCTACACTGAAAGATCTCATATCCAACACACACACACACACACACACACACACACGCACACACACACGCACACACACAAACACACACACAATCTGAATTTTAACACATTAACACATTAAGAGAATGAAACTTCCTTACCTGCTATTGGAAATATAATTATAATAGTTTCTTCTCAAATAATGATTAAAAAGTAAGCAAATACCCACTCCTAAGTTCTAGTAAATATACTTCTAGTGAATAAGGAGTGACCAAAGAACATTGAAAAGCTAAATGTCTTCACAAATATGTTCCCTGAGAGATATGTTTCCATAAGACTCGATCATTCCTACCTGACAGTCACTTTTAGAACAAAGCGATGCAACGTCAAAACCTCCCACAAGTTTGTGTTACCTCTTCACACAGACAGTCCATGGGAATAGGTGTGTGCTAGGCAGAGGACTAGGAAAGAGAGAAGAAATCAGTACCAGAGGAAAAGGGCCCCTCATCATGGGAAATCGCTGGCTTTTCAACGGGTAGAGGGGTGTGTGTGTGTGTGTGTGTGTGTGTGTGTGTCTGTCTGTCTGTCTGTCTGTCTGTCTGTTTGCCCACCCACCCGCCTGCCTGTCTTGCTGACTGGCTTATAACATGGTTATTTCACACACTTGAAATCTAAAACCTCCAAGGTACTGTCCATCCAGTTGATGGACCTCCAGCTATAAAGCCTGGCTTTGGGCCCAAATGCTTGCCTGTATTAATTAAAAAATCAATCTATGTAAAACAAGCAAATGAATTTAATTAGAATTTTGACCAAAGCTGAGGAGAAATAAATTCTCAGTTTTTCTGCCTTGTCCCTAGCAGTGGTACAACTTACAGAAATGATTGAAGCACAGCTGGAGGTACAACTCGGCAGTAATAGAGTACTTACCTAACAGGTGTGAAGCCCTAAATTAAATATATTACCTAAAAAATTTAAAAGATGATAAAGCAAAAATCAGGAGCTACGAAAGTAAAGATTTAGCCATAGGCACCAGGGGCCTCCAAGTGCCTGAAGAGGAAAGTATAGGTCTTTGCCCTAGTGCCAAATTCCAGAGCTCTTCTACAGGGACTTTTTCACTCCCAACCTGGCATTTCCGGGGAGGTCCTCAGCTCTTACACATGGCTTCAGTCTCAGTGTCTTCCTGGCAAGACAGACCTACGTAGGCCAGTTTGGATGTTCTGGGCTTTGTTCTTTTGTCGTTGTTGTTTTGGGTTTGACCTGCTTGTATCTGTGTGTTTAGAGCTGGGTTTAATCTGTTTTGTAATCTGTCTGGGGAGAGATTTGGCAGGGAGCCCATAGAAGCCTATAATTAATGAAATGTGTCCTGACCATTTTCAGGTTGGTGGGAGGGTTTCAAGGATGTGTGTAACTGTGGGCTGCCTCCTTCCAGGAAACTGTTTAAGGCCAATGTGAGAAGGCAGACTTCAAATAAAGATCAGCTGCAATTGCATTTCTAATTCTGTGTCCCTGAGTTAAAATAAATGACTCTCTTCGGAGGAGAGGATTTTTTGTAGGTAAGAAAAACATTGCCTACCATACATCTCTATTCTTCCTTCTTATAATTAATGTTTCTCTGTCAATTATTCTGTCACAAATATATTTTTCCCAGAAATTAGACACACCCCTTTCATCTTGTGGATGACCCAAGTGGGAAGAAGTGTCCCACTGTAAATGACCGCCACTTGAATATAAGTCAGAAAGGGATTTTAATTGAAAACGGGTCATTTGTCATCTTAAACTTGTATGATACAGGCAACCCTGAAGGAAAACTCCCTTTGTTCAATCATCCAAGCATATACCAAAGGACATTACAAACAATTCCATTTCACTACAGGCAAACAAACTACCAATAACTGAAAAAAGAAACATAAAAAATTCATTGGAGACAAACATGACATTGGTTTCTGCAATTATTTTGAGGGCAGGATTGAACCAAAACCAACGAAATACCAAAACAGAGTAAAGAGACAACAATGTCCAGGCAGGAGGACGTGTCTGCAAGGCACACACCAAGTAAGAGGCTGGTGCTAAAAATACAGAACTCGGTTGCATGAAAACACATGCTCCGATTTAAAAGTTAATAGCCCTCAACAGACAATTATATATACATGTGGACAATAGACATATGAAGAATTGCCCATAAGTGATACTATCTTTATCTCCGTGGGACACTGGTTAATTATCAAAATCAGTTAAAATTCTTATCACTGCTGATGCTGATTTGCTTTTGTAGTTTTCTTACGTTTATTTTTTAAAGGGCCTTGCTATTTGGTTCAGGCTGGCCTGGAACTTGCTATGTACCCCCTGGCTGTTCTGGAATTTTGAACCTTTTGTGTCAGCCTCGTGAGGGCTGTGACTGGGGGGCGGGGGATTATGACAACACACTATAGTAAGTTCTGATAATGAGTACTCCTTCTTATGTTCACTTCCCTTTGATAGGCAAAGACATTAGTGGCAAGACCATTGATCCTTTAACTCGAAGCTGTTAAACTCCTTTTCTCCTGTGTTCCCCTGCTTGCCCTAAGGGAAAGCTTGATGCCTTAACCCTGCTAAGCTACCTATATACCAGTATTGCTATTTTTGAATACTCCGCAAATGCACGGAGGAAACCACACGGTTATTCTAGGTGCTTGCTCTGGCTTCTAAAGGTGTAGCCTCAGTCAAGGCAGTTTTTGTATGGGGTGGACCTTTTGTCATCACAAATGTCAGTCTGTGACATGATTCGTGACTTTCCATGATGAGTGATCTCGCTTTTCCTCTGGTACTGATTTATCCTCTCGACACTAGTACCCCGCCTAATGCACACCTAGATCCACAGACTGTCTATGTGAGGAGATACAGCAAACTCTTGAGAATGTTTGACTTGCAGGGAAGTCTATGTGGTTCAGGATCCTTTCCACCTTGTCAAGGAGAAGCACTCCCCCTGGTGGCCCAGCTAGGAACTGTTGTGACTAGTGTTAAACACAGGAGATATCAGGACAAGACTGCCTGGGAAGCAAGGAATTTCTTTGCCCTTGGCAGCAGCCTGCATTGCAGCTTTTCAGTAGATCTTCATAACAGCCAGGGTTCCAGTTTGAGGCTTATGGTTTGTGAGGCTTGACCGCTCTCTGAAACTCTTCTAGCAACCAGCAAGTTCTACCTTCTCTGGCTCTTTACAGCCTTCTACCTGTCTTCAGCCTCAGCTCCCCACCCTCCCTCCTTCCATAACCCACTTCTTCCTGCCTTTTTGAACTTTTAAGCTGGCCATCCGTTAGCTGTCATGTGGTGCCTGTGCCACGAGCAAGTCTAATGTATAAGGTGAAAGCCTGGAGATTTAAATGAAAGACAAAATGTCTAGCCATTTGTGTTAAAAGAAAGTGTGTGTGTGTGTGTGTGTGTGTGTGTGTGTGTGTGTGTGTGTGTGTGTGTGTGGTGTTTATTACAAGGGGTAGCAGCCTTATATACAGACTTACAGCACAGTGGAGAAACCCCAGGTGTAAGAGTTTGTGTTTCCATGATTAGAGGTTGATGCCAGTGGGGCAAGGCCGACAGTGTAAACAAGGACTAGAATACAGGGTGCACCTGTGGTTACTGGCTGACAAGCAACTCACAGAGACCCTGTGGGGGCTGGGGCCCAACACTGTCACGCATCACATTTGTAATTTGGCCTGCCAACCTGAGAGGCCTGCATCTTCAGCTATCAAGCAGCGGGCCACCTTGGCACACTGCCGGCAGCAGCTTCTTGAGGCTGCTTCTTTCTTGTTGCCACTGCAGGCCCACGCTGCAGTCGGATTTTTCTTTGGGTCACAAGCTCACAAATAATGATGTGGAGACTTCTTATTAATTATGAATGTGTGGCCATGGCTCAGGCTTTTTTTCTAACTAGTTCTTATAACTTAACTAACCCATATTTTTAATCTACATTCTGCCACATTGCTTGTACCTCTCTTCCATACTGCATGCCCTGCTTTCCTGCTTCCTTTGAGCCTGGCTGGTGAATCTGCCTTTCTTCTTCCCAGAGTTCTCTCTCTACCAGGAAGTGCTGCCTATACCTTTTGCCTAGCTATTGCCAGCTCAGTTTTTTTTACTCACACCAGTAACAGCAATATATCGTCATACAGTGTACGGATATCCCACAACACCACGTTACTATAAGCAGACTGCAAATAATTCCCTGGGGAATGCGTTTTATTAGTTCTGTTACACCACCAGGGGAAGCTGACTCATCAGGAGAACCAAAAGGCTGGCTTATATGGTTCAAAGAGGGGTGATTTCTCCAATCATAGCAAAGTACACACCCAAATGAAGATTTGTCTGTATTTATGCGTTGGAATGGCTATCATCAAAAAAGATGAGAGGCTAGAGCTGTAGCACAATGACAGAGTGCTTGCCCAGCATGTCAGGACCCTGAGTTTTATCAGTAATGCAAAAAGGGCTGCTGAGATGGCTCAGTGAGTAAAGGTATCTACCACCAAGCCTGACAACCCGAGTTCAATCCTCAGGACCCACATGGTGGAAAGAGAGAACCAATTCCTACATATCATCTTCTGACTTCTACATGGCTGCTATGACACACATTATACATGCATACACACACACACACACACTAAATAAATTAGCACACAAAAAACTGAGTATTGGGAAAGATGTGGACAAGACGAACATGTATTCTCACTAGAGAATGTAAATTTGTAGTCTCACTATGGAAAACTACATGCACTTCCTAAAAATTAAACCAACCATATAATGTGTCAAATCTAAATTTTGTGTCATGTGAAGGATTACATCGAGGCCCTTCCACTGATAAGCAAGTGTTCTACCACTGACTGCACCCCCACCCCACTTTTTCTACACTCAAACTTGCAATTAGTATATGGAGGAGATACATACATCCCCATATTCATTGGCCACCACATTAGCCAACTTTAGTATCCACTAACATGCCTTTAGTCCCAGCACCCGGGAGGCAGAGGCAGGCGGATCTCTGTGAGTTCGAGGCCACCCTGGTCTACAGAGTAGTTTCAGGACAGCCTCCAAAGCAATACAGAGAAACCCTGTCTCGAAAAAACAAAAAAAAAGGAAACAAAACAAAAAAGTATTTTTAAAAAAGAAAGAAAATGGGGCACATCTACAGAATGTAACACTTTTTTTCTTATAAAAAGCTCTCTCCCTTTCAACAACACAGATGAAATCTGGCATGAAATGTGACAGGCCTTTAAAGAACAACAGACACTGGATTGGGAGAGGTGTCTCAGTAGATAATAGCACTTGCTGTTCTTTAGAGGACCAAAGTTCAGTTCCCAACATCCACATCAAGTGGCTCACAACCACCTATAACTCCAGCTCCAAAGGGTCTGATACCCTCCCTGGCTTCTGTAGGCATCTGCATACACCACACACACAGACACACACAGACAGAGAGAGAGAGAGAGAGAGAGAGAGAGAGAGAGAGAGAGAGAGAGAGAGGGAGGGAGGGAGGGAGGGAGGGAGGGAGGGAGGGAGGGAGGGAGGGAGGGGGTAACTTTAAAAGCAAAGTGAGAGTGACAAATATTGCATAATATATGAGGAATCTACTATCATGTTCTTAGAAACAGATGAAGAATGGCAGTGATATTTATTTATAAAAAATAAATAAAAGCAAGCAAACAAAAGACCAAAAGCCTCTGCTAGAGAGTGATACAAATAAGAAGAGGTAGTCAAAATGTGGGAACACACAGAAAGAGGAAGAGACCTATTGCTTAGTATGGAAACTATACTTAACAACATATTATGTATTTCAAAATTGCTAACAGTACATCACAAATGCTCCCACCCCAGAACAGTATTCCAGGTGATTGTCACATTGATTACCTTAATTTATTATCCAATAGCTGGGTATAGTTTGTGGATAAAATAACACAACTAAAATCAACAAGATATTTTCTATGCAGTATGTAAAAAAATAAAAGCAAGCAAGCAAGCAAACAAACCAAAATACCTATTTGATTTCATACCTGTGACTTAGTTCAGAGCCTACCACTGAGGATGCACTTAGCCTTTCTTACAAATGCAGTTTTGCAAAATGCCCCAGGAATTGGTATCCTCCATGAAATCCCATGCTAGAGTTAAAAGGCTCACTTCTAAATTCCTAGAGGCTGGTGCCAGGAAAAGGCAACTTCCCAGGATCAGTAACTTGATACACAGCTAAATCCAGAGATGTTTCTGGACTTTCACTTGATCTATTGTATGCTGTAACACTGCCATGTGTATGCCAGAGAAAGATAGGTGAGTTTTCTTTTTTCTCTTTTTTTTTCAACAATCCCACGTGGAGCTTATTGGTGGACAGGGAAGGAAAGGGGGGGGTGAGAGGTAACCAACCTGAGAGAGAGAGATAAGATGAGAGACAGACAGAGAGAGAGAGAGAGAGACAAAGACAGAGACAGAGAGACAGAGAGAGAGAGGGAGGGAGGGAGGGAGGGAGGGAGAAAGAGAGAGAGAGAGAGAGAGAGAGAGAGAGAGAGAGAGAGAGAGAGAGAGAGAGAGAGAGAGAATATGAGATGGAGAGGAAGACGAGAGTAAAAGAGCGACAGGTGAGTTTTCTATACCCTGTGTTTCAGTAAAAAAACACTGTAAATATCTTCATTTTTATTTTTTAAGATTTGTGTGTTTATATAAGTGTTTTGTGTACATGTATGTCTGCAGGATATGCATGCCTGGAGAAGGCCAGAAGAGGGGATTATGTGGGAATCGTATTTAGTCCTCTTCTAGGGCAACAAGTCCTCTTACCTGCTGAGACACCTCTCCAGCCCCTTTCTTTCCTTCTTAATGTGGGCACACATTCAGACTCTTCTTGTTTTCTGAGACAGGGTCTCATGCAGTCCCACCTTGCCTCCACCTCCTGAGTGCCCTCAGTTTACACGGTTCTGGGAATGGGAATACTCAGGGTTTCATGCACGCTAAGCAAGATCTCTCCCAACAGAGCTACATCCCCAGTCTTCCAGCTTAGTTTTCTTACATCAGCCGGGCAGTGGTGCCACACGCCTTCAATCCCAGCCCTTAGGAGGCAGAGACAAGCGAATCTCAGTGAGTTTGAGACCAGCTTGGTCTACACATCAAGTTCCAGAACAGCCAGAGCTGTCTAAAAACAAACAAACAAACAAAAAGTTTTCTTATGTCATTTCTACTTAGACTATCAGTTCTCTAATTATAGCCCACGAGCCAACATAGTAACCTATGGTATTTGCAACTTAAATTCAGGGCCCATCATAGGACAGCAAAAAGTAACTGCACTGATAGAAACCAGTGTCAATGCAAAACTACAGCAATTGTGTCATGGAGAGTAAGAGACAGTTTATCCTGGAGTCAAGTTTGAGTGATCATGACCCAGGAGCATAGGCTCAGGTTGCCCTGAATACCATGTTCCAACATGATGATCGGTTACGAAGTTATTCTAATAATAAAACAAATGAAAGTCGCAGATCAAGGTAATTTTCAAGAAGACAGGCTAAAGCAAGGTAGAAAAATCTATTATATGCCTCATTATTAACCTTTGAATTGGTGAAAGCTATTGGTCTGTTAGGAAATCCTAAAAGCATTTACCTAAAAGTAATGAAGCTGTTAGACCGAACAAGAACGTGGGCAATAAATAGCTACTAAAGAGGCTAAAAACAGGGCATGGTGGTGCAGGCCTTTAATCCCAGAATTCAGAAGGCAGAGGCAGGTGGATCTCTGTGAGTTTGAGGGCAGCCTGGTCTACAGTGAGTTCCAGGACAGCCAGGGCTACACAGAGAAACCCTTTCTCGAAAACCAAAACTAAAGCAAACGAACAATAAGAGGCCAAAATAGTTCAGGATAACTTGACTCCACATCTGCACCACTCTAACTCTCCAAAAAGCAATCAATCAGCCTTGCAGAATCTTTAACAAGGGTGCAGATTTTTTTCTAAGAGCTTCAATCTGTATTTTAATAACTCATCCAGATGATTCAGACACACAAAAGTTTGAGAACCACTGCTTTAGATTATCTGCTATCTGGTTGCTTCTCTTATTAACTCAGCAGGCTTAGGTGATTCCAAATCACTAGATGGGAATTAAGCTTGCAACACCAAATAATCAGCACAGAAGTATTACATGTATTCTGACCTGTGAGGTGGTTAGCCCTGCATCAATGTCCTCATGTGAAATCCCAGGCTCAGTGGCTAAATGGGGTATTTGCCTTGAGTTAAGACTCATTCTCCAAGAGGGTCCCACTGTTACATGGGAAAATGATCTGCCCACCAATTAACTACTTTAGGCCTTCAGTGGTGTTTAGCCCTCCAACAAGTGGCATCTGGAGACAACATAAGGAAGAAACAAGCCAGGAGGATATTTTGTGAAATTTACCCTCCAATTCCAATGCTTCCTCCCTCTTTCCCTTGATCTTCCTTTCCTTCCATCTTCGTGTGTGTGTGTGTGTGTGTGTGTGTGTGTGTGTGTGTGAGAGAGAGAGAGAGAGAGAGAGAGAGAGAGAGAGAGAGAGAGAGACAGAGACACAGAGACACAGAGAGACGGGGGGGGGGGGGGGCCTTACTATGGAGCCCTGGCTAGTACTCACTATGAAACAAAAGATAACCTCCCACTCTTGGAACTCCTCCTACATCAACCTCCCAAGTAAAGGGGCTTCTCTTTAAAACATTTCTATTAATCTCTCTCTCTCTCTCTCCCTCTCTCTCTCTCCCCTCTCTCTCCCCTTCTCCCTCCCTCCCTCTCTCTCTCTCTCTCTCACTCTGTGTGTGTGTGTGTGTGTGTGTGTGTGTGTGTGTGTGTGTGTGTGTGTGTGTGTGTGTGTAAGAGTGTGCCTGTGCATGGAGGCCAAGGGTTTTAGGATGTCCTGTTCTCCACTATGGACAAAATTCACTTGAAATGGAGTGACTCACTGAACCTGTTACTAGGCTGGCTAGCAACAAGTCCCATGGATCCTCCTGTGTAGGAGGCCACTTCCAGCCTTCTATGTGGGAGTTAGGGATTTGAATGAGGGTCCTCGTTTGCCCACACACAACTCTTATCCACTGAGGCTGGGGTGGAAGAAATTCAAAGTAACAGAATTGATGTTATAAAGGACTTACTAATAGATTTGCTCAGGAGATATTAAAGGACATGAAGTAGAACTTAACTAAGGGAGTGCTGCCTCCAAAACACCACAAAGTATTGCGCTAACCAAGCCTGTTTGAAATAAGCAAAGGTATCATGCTAGGATTACATTTCTGTTCACCAGGACTGACCAGACATTAGATCCACCCCCAAAGAACATGGTTCCAACAGGCATCTTGAGTGGGCAGGTCAGGGTCACAAACACCACTAAGTCCTGGTTGGCAATTAGGAGCTCTGTGCTCTTATTAGGAAATGCCTAATTCAGTCAGGTTGGCAAGATAAACCTGGATGACAACTATTTAAAAAAACAACAACACTACTGTACTTAAAAAAAATCTGGGCTGGAGAGATGGCTCAGAGGTTAAGAGCACTGGCTGCTCTTCCAGAGGTCCTGAGTTCAACTCCCAGCAACGACATGGCGACTCACAATCATCTGTAATGAGATCTGGTGCCCTCTTCTGGCCTGCATGCATGCAGGCAGAATATTGTAATAAATCTTTTTAAAAAAATTCTGGCAGCATCTTTGCTGTGTAAATCTTCCCAAGTGGCCAGACTTGCAGTCTCCTGCCTCTTAAACAGTTCAAAATGTAACCTGGGTCCTGGACATAAAAAAAAAATCTAAGGATTACACAGAATGTAAAGCAAAAAAGCCTGAGGTGTACAAAAGTTAATAAAGTCTTCTGTTGGAGCCCTGCTCTTCTTTGAGCATTAACAACAGCTGTCCAGGCTTTTCTTTTATTACCATCTAAGTGGGCAGAGTGATTTCTCACTATGAAGTGGTATTATTTCTGTAACAAGCTTACTCTCCAAAGCCTCCTCAAACTATCTTAAAGGTCCATTCAAACCCATTCCCAGAGCAGCTTGGTGTCTGCAGCATGTTGGTCAGTCTGTTTTTTGCTTCTCTTCCTTTCTTTCTGGTGGTAGGTTTTTCTAACAGAAGATAGATCACCCTCTAAACTTCGTTTGTGCCTGAGCCCCAAATCAGACGACAAATAAGCAGACCGTAAAAAGCAAGAATAAAGAGCCACAAAAGGCAGGGCGGTGGTGGTGCACGCCTTTAATCCCAGCACTTGGGAGGCAGAGGCAGGTGGATCTCTGTGAGTTCGAGACCAGCCTGGACTACAGAGCGAGTTCCAGGACAGCCTCCAAAACGATACAGGAAAACCCTGTCTCGAAAAAAAAAAAGCCACAAAAAGTGGTACTCAGAAAAAAAAAAAAAAAAAAAAAAACTTCCCACCAGAGTAGCGGGAGTCTGAAACGAAAGACCTAAGGTCATGCACGAAATTCATCCCAATGAGATCCCCCGGAGTGTAGATTCTTGCCCGCAACAACCTTCCCCAGCAGCTCACAATCCTTACACCACTTCGCTGTGCTCCTCCCACCAAAAAAAAAAAAAAGCGAAGATGCTCGGTATCCGAACACCGGAAACATCAATAGTCCTGAAGGAACGTCATCAATAGTCGCCGAGTTAGACCCGGCTCTTGAGGTCCTTCCTCAATTTGGCTCCCCTCTCTACGGGTCCTTAGTTGAACGCATCAGCGATGGCACTGGCCGCACTGACCCCGATCCCTCCCCGACGTCTTAATTACAAGTACGCTTCAAACACAACATGAAGGAGCCACCTCCCGCTTCCCCAGCCACCCCAGAAACTCTAGTTTGACCCCAGGAGCTCCTGGGCGTTAGCGAGCCAACTCGTTTTTGCACTCCGGCATCATTATGCTAAATCAAAAGGCTAGGCCTGCCCCCTTTTTCATCTGTTGAAACCCACCCCCACTACCACCAAATTATGCTCTAGGTTGATTTGGAAGCTTATCAATCATTCTGATGTGAGAATTAATTTTATTACATGAGCAGTTTATTGGCAAGCTGCTGGACCAATCCTTATTTCCAATATGTCATTTCTGATGTGATCATCGTGAATCTGTAACTTTCTATTCCCCGTTTCCCAATTTTGTGTCTCATAGCTAAGTTTCCCTGCATGCCTGAAGCACCGGGTCTTTTTAAAACCATAATTTCTAGGTTGGACACTCCACTCATTTTTTTAATCTAAACCATGCTATCTTGAGCAAAAAGTTGAAGCATGCTACTCCGTTGCTTCCTCTTCTGGAGCATAGGCGTACTAGCAATACACTCCAATGCACTAATGAAAAGAGAACCAATATACTGAACTAGAAATTACTATTTATGAAATTGACAGTGCTATCTTCTCACAGAATATACTGTTGGAGTAAATAATGAATGATAACAGCTAAATTAGGAGTTGCAGATGATAGAACAGTGCTTACACATTGTTTTCATGTTATCACTAATAACATTTTGGTGGATGTTACATATACTCCTCCCACTTCTCGTTTATGTTTTGCTAGTTTAAAGTCAGATAGACCTCCTGTGCCCACCTCCATGTCAAAACACTGGGACTTCCTCACAGGTTTGGTCTTTGCACTATGATAATAAGAAACATCGTTTTAGCCACAGAATGCTTTGCCAATGTTAATATTACTCTACTTTTACTTAGACTCTACAAATCTCTTATCTTCACCAACATACTCAGTTAAGGAAATGAAGAAATGCTTCAAAGATTTTGTGATAAAAGCATATGTGAGTATCTAAAATGAATATACTGGATAACTTCCCCTTCCAATAGTCCCAAAACTGTCCACTTCTGTTCATTCTGTACTCTCTGGATCAAAAAGGACCACTCAGCAGGAGCAAAAATAAAAAAACTTCTCTATTAGTTTATCTTATACAAACCAATTTCCACCTTGTTAATTTTAGTCCACTCTTTTTATTAATTCAGCTTCCTATTTCTTTGGTTTCCATTGTTTTGGACTCAGGTCTGTGCTTCTAGAGTTGAGACAGAGCTGGGTGTGTTTGTGCAGGACTTTAATCTCAGTACTTGGGAAGCAGAAGGACATCTATGCTTTAGAGACAAACCTGGTCTCCATAGCCAATTCCAAGTCATTCAGGACTTCACAGTGGGGCTATTTTCTCAAAGGAAAATGAGTTAACACAAGATACAGCATTTACAATTACCTCCTACATGAAGCAAGGCTTTTGGAGAAATGCAAGTACTTCATGTTCTCACCTTGGTGTAATCTAAATCCATTGCAGTATCAGAAAGTAAGAGTGGTGGTGATAGGGAACTGAAAAGTTATGGGGAGTGGAGAGATGGTCAAACTATGCAAAGTTTCAATTAGGAGTAATGATTTTTTAAAATCATTTTTATTTTTTGTGTATGGGTGTTTGACTGCCTGTACATCTGTACACCCTATGTATACCTGGTTGGTGCCTGCAAAGGCCAGAAGAAAGCATTGGATACCCTGGGAATGGAATTACAGACAGTTGTGAGCTGCCTTGTGGGTGCTGGAAATTGAACCTGGGTCCTCTGTAAGAGCAGCCAATTCTCTAAGCTGCTGAGATGTCTCTCCAGCCCTAGGGGAATGATTTTTGAGATCTCTCATCAGCATGATCACTATGGTAATAAGAGGGTATTGGACTTCATAAATTACTATGAGTATATTTCTAATGTTCATATCAGATAAACTAAGTATGTAAGGTAATGGCTATATTAATTTGCTTGAATTCTGAGACAAGTTTAAAACCACAGAGAAAAGTGGAGATAGCTAACAAGGGTTCTTCACTTCACCCCAGAATCCGAAACTTCAGCACAACTGAGGAAACTCAAGTTACCTGCAAAAATAATGCCCCTTTACCTAAAGACATCTCCAACAAATGAACTGTTTACTCAAGGCTTTAATGTCTGTGATCTTGAATTTAACTATATTAGCCCTTGTCACTGTGAATTCTGAACAATACAACTGATAAAGCACCTTAACCATTACATTTAGAAAAGGAAGCTATTTAAGTAAAACTAAGTAAACCAGCTCACACTTTTTCATATTTAATTTTAAGCCCACATTAAATGTGCAGTGTGTGCTACTCAATATCCCTACTTCATAAGCTCCCTAACATACTTCATTAAAGCTCACCTGTAATAGTGTTCAGTGGCATAATCAAATATCTGGGATGATTCTCACTACCTACATTGACAATTCCACATTGTGTACAAGTAAAATAACATCACTTTGAACCTCATTAACATACTTGTTAACATTCATGGAGATACAGATGAAAAGTTTTTTTATGCAGTGGGCAACAAAATCCATCTGTCTTTGTCTCTGGGCTAATTTCACTCAGATCTCACCACTGGCTATGTGCCTAACCATCCACAGAGATGTCCTTTAGTAAGGAATCCCAAGAAATGCCAGACTTGTCAGTGAAACAATCCACAGCAAGAATCCTGCTTGGCACCAGGAGAAAGACCTGTTTGGTAACCTGAGTCTGCAACAGGATAAAAAGCCATGGAAAATTATGGGGACATGAAAAGGCAAAGAAGGGGTTGGAGAGATGACTCAGTAGTTAAAAGCACTTGTTGATCATCCAGAGGCCTAGTACCCACATGGTAGATTACAACTGTCCTGTCTATAACTTCAGTTACAGGGGAACTGAATCCCTGTTCCAGCTTCCAGGGGAACAAGGCACGCACACCACACGGTATATAGACATAGATACAGACAAAATACCCATGCACATAAAATTGTTTTTTAAAAGAATGATGGCTGCATGTAGAAGAATCCAAGTATAGAATCATATTTATCACCCTGTACAAAACTCAACTCCAAGTGGATCAAAGACCTCAACATAAAACCAGATACACTGAACCTGATAGAAGAGAAAGTGGGGAATAGCCTTGGACTCACTGAAACAGGAAAAGACTTTCTGAACAAAACACCGATAGTACAGGCACTAAGATCAACAATTAATAAATGGGACCTCATGAAACTGAGAAACTTCTGTAAGGCAAAGGACACTGTCAATGGGACAAAGCAGCAGCCTACAAAATAGGAAAATTAACCAACTCCACATCCAATAGAGTAATAATATCCAAAATATATAAATACAAGAAACTAGCTATCAAAAAATAACCCAGTTAAAAATGGGGTACAGATCTAAACAGAATTCTCAAAAGAGGAAACAAATGATTGAAAAATACTTAAAGAAATGTTCAACAGCCATCAGGAAAATACAAATCAAAACTACCTTGAGATTCCATCTTACACCTGTCAGGATATCTAAGATCAACAGAAAAAGTGACAGCTCATGCTGGAGAGGATATGGACTAAGGGGAACACTCCTCCATTGCTGGTGGGAGTAAAAATTCATATAACCACTATGGAAATCAATGTGGCAATTCCTCAGAAAGATGGGACTCAATCTACCTTAAGATCCAGCTATACTACTCTTGGGCATATACCTAAGGGGTGCTTCATCCTACCACAACAACACTTGCTCAACCATGTTCATTAATGCTCTGTTTATAGTAGGCAGAAATTAGAAACAACCTATATATCCCTCAACAGGAAAATCAATAAAGATAATGTGATACATTTACACAATGGAGTATTGCTAAGTCATTTTTTAAAAATGACATCAAATTTGCAGGCAAATGGATGGAACTAGAAATAATCATTCCAAGTGAGATATCCCAAATTCAGAAAGACAAATACGGTTACGTATTCACTTACATGTGGAAATGAGCTGTTAAGTCAATGATAACCAAGCTACAATCCCTAGAGCCACAGAAGGTAAGTATAGAGAGAGGGACTAGATGGAAGTGTCAGATCTCATTAGGAAAGGTAAATAACATAGATATGGATGGAAAGGAGGTTTACAATGGGAGGAGCAAGTAGGGAGGGGTAAGAGAGAGGGAGTTGTGTGAGGGAATGCAGGGAGAAACAACTAAAACTAAGGGGCATTTGAGGGGTGGTATGGAAACCTAATACAGTAGAAACTCACTAAAAGATATACATGTATGAAGGTGATCTAAATGAAATTGGCAAATAACAGGGGAGACAGAATCCCAACTGCCATCTCTTGCCACCCAATGAAGCTTCAGGACTGGGTTACATCTAATTGACTTGTTGGTCAAAGGGGTCCCGTGGGAATCCCACTGATAGCAAAGCCCCATTGCTGAAGACATTTATTGCGTATGCCACTGTGAAGGCTTTATGTTGGGCTCATTTGCTAACGAGTAAAAGCATATAAATACCAAGAACAAACAAACTAACAAATAAAGATAGTCATTTTAAAGACAGATAAGAAGAACTCTCTCTTGAGAAGCCCATACATGTCTTGGGATTATATACTGCCTTTTCCATATGCCTTTCTATCTACACACTTACTAAATAAGATCACTTGCTTTGCTTCATGTTCATATTCATTATTCCTATCATAATCAAAGAACTTCCTTTACCTGAGCAGAAGTCCTAAGGAAAAAGGTGACTTCCCAGGCTACTAGTAGTTCCAATTCTGTGTACCCCTGCCTCCCTAGTCTATACCTAAATCTGCAGGTGCATATAAACTCTTCTATGACTTGTAAAACTGATATTGGCAAGGCCAAAAATACTGAGAATGTTTCACTCCCCAATTTTGGATACAACTCTAAATGAACTCAGTTTCATTTTTTAAAATTCCATTAAGGGAATGCAAAATAGCCTAGTCCCATATCTACATGAAGGTAGAAGAGAGCTGGAGAGATGGCTCAGAAATTACGTGCACTGATCTTGCAGAGGACCCACAAGCATTTACATGGTGATTTGCAAACAGTTGTAATTCCAATCCAATGTCCTCTTCTGGCTTTCCAGGCATGCACATGGTGCATAAATATATATACAGGCAAAATGCCCACATATATTAAATCTGAATGTATGTTTCTATACCACTTGCATTCCCAGTGCCCAAAGATGCCAGGATAGAGCATTAGATCCTCTGGAACTGGAGTTACAGATGGTTGTGAGCCATCATTCAGATGCTGAAAATCAAACTCAAGTCCTTTGCAAGAGCAGTAAGTACCCTTAATTGCTGAGCCATCTTTCCACTCCAAAAGAAGTTTTTGCTTTTGTTTTGTTTTTGTATCGTTGTTTTTGTTTTTTAAAGGTAGGACTGTTAGTATTCAGGCATCTGGGCTGGACTGCCCTTAGGGCCCTGACAGGATATGTCCTCAGCTGCAGCCACTGAGAGCACCACCTGTGCACATTCACTATGTTCCCTTTTAAAGAGCCCTGCCCACCTCCCAGCTTTGTCTTCTCTCTCTCTCTCTCTCTCTCTCTCTCTCTCTCTCTCTCTCTCTCTCTCTCTCTCTCTCTCTCTCTCTCTCTCTCTCTCTCTCTCTCTCTCTCTGTCTCTGTCTCTCTCTCTCTCTCTGTCTCTCTCTCTGTGCCCCTCCCCCTCTGTGCCCCTCCCCCTCCCTTTCCCTCTGCCTCCCTGCCCTCCCACCTCCCTCTCACTTCCTCCAGGCCTGAAGGGCCTCTCTGCCTGTCTCTGTCTCCACACTCCCTCTCTCTGCCTCTCTTTTCTCTTCTGCTGCTCCTGTACCCAGAGGTCGGTCTCCCCCGTCCTTTTCCCATTCCTTTTCTCCTAATTAAAAAAATACCCTCCGCGTGAGCTCTGTCATATGGTGTCTTTCTCTCTTGCCTGCTTTTTAAATTACAATAACTGAGCCCATAAAGTTTCTCTTCTGACTACCACACTCTTTCCCTGTGGTAACATACAAATTATGACTACCCACATGAATGCATTCTCTTACACACACACTAATAAGTGTTTTTTTTTATTTTGATAATGAAGCAGAGCTTTCTGACCAAAGTCAAAGCATTACAGCCAGGGGCTTTGGTTAGACATTACGGTTTACTTAGGTCAGACTGGTTTAGATAACAACTCTTAGTGTGATCCTAAGCTCAGTAGTATTAGTATTTCCCTTTGTAGGGGACCCAGTAGTCACTGCTTTAACTAACTTTGTGGCTGATTCAGAAGCATGGAAAAGTTTGAGAATTACTGACGTACACTGCTTGCAATAGCACTGATTTTCTGGCTTACAAAGCAGAAGGCTGCATGATTCAGAAGAATTAAAATTTTATGGTAGGTACACAATTCCCTGGTATGAAATGAGTTCTTTGCAAAATGAAAGTGCACACAAATATGTCAAATGTTCAAACCAGCCAATTTGGGAGTCCTGCACTGTGTTGACCTCACTCAAGGTCATACATAGGCTGCACCTTTGAGAGGATACCTTGTGGCTGGGTTAGGCGGATTCCCTAACTTCAATCCTTCCATTATATGGGAAACACTCTCAACTAACCAAACAAACAAAAGACCAGTTTGTGCTTGCACACTGCTCAGTTCTCTCCAAGTGGCTGCACAAGGGACCAAACTAGGAATATCCAAGGTCTGAAGGAAAACTTCCAGCAGGATACTTTTATCTTTATTCTGCTTTTAAAATTTGTTCAAGCCGGGCGTTGGTGGCGCACTCGAGGGGCAGAGGCGGGCGGATCTCTGTATGTTCGAGACCAGCCTGGACTACCAAGGGAGTTCCAGAACAGCCTCTAAAGCTACAGAGAAACCCTGTCTCAAAAAAAAAACTTGTTCAATCACTACTTCAAGGAACTTGTGCGAGACTTCTTCACCAATGTAGTCTGGTGGCCCTCAGTAGGTTTTCTTACACAAAATATATCTGAGATCAATGAGGATCCTGAATGTACACAGGGTTATCTGAGACTGCACCAGATGTTTTGCTATCACAAGCCTTGGTGGAACTTAGATGACCCTGAAACTGCTTCTACCTAGACCAGAGAGAGTACACTTCCCTTGATGTTCAAGGAAGGGGACTTCTGTCACTGTTATTATGTTATGAGGCTACTAATGTTCCGAATCACAAGCCTCAGTGGCTTTGGTTGTGTAAACAGGTTGCTGGAGTCCACTTATTGAGTTTGCTTAGACAAATTCTCCTATGCTTTCTTGTGGTGTTGTAGCACCAGTTCCAATAAACAACTTTTCTCAAGTAGCCTTTCCTTACTCACATTTGGTAGTGCTGGCTGAGTTCATAACACAGAGCAGCAGCAGAGAGTGATGGACAAGGGCATCCAAGACGAAGTTATCAGGTCAAGAAAGACGGCTAACTGCTGTCAGTTGAATATGAAGTTGCTGAAGAGTTCCAGAGTGGCCAGGGCAGGAAGTAAGGCTGCAGTATAACAGACGAGACAGGGTGAAGAGTTGATCCTGAAGAAACACAAAAGCCTGTAAGGAGCCTAAAAAAAGAGAACATGCAGATTCTACTCACCAGGAGGGTTCCAAAGGGCTGTGAAAAACTTACAGCTAGGTGGTGGTGGCGCACGCCTTTAGTCCCAGCACTTGGGAGGCAGAGGCAGGCGGATCTCTGTGAGTTTGAGGCCAGGCTGGACTACAGAGTGAGTTCCAGGACAGTCTCTAAAGCTAAAGAGAAACCC